GATAAGCGGAAATCCCTGAACTGAATTGCAGATTTCCTAAACGACTGTTTTCAAATGTTACCCTACGGATGATCAAAGGGCTCATTTTTTCCAGTCGCTAGTTTGCATTATCTACGTACAGGATATAATGCTAGATGTTTACTCTGATGCGTGAAGATTTTAGGACGATCTCAAACTTTCAAGGGCGAACAATACGAAATGTATATGCAGACCCTGCAAGACGACATCAAGCAGGTGCTTAATTGTCGTAATAGTTCGGGTTTGAACTTCCAGCGCAAGGCAGCACATGGTCTCAAACAGAAGCCTAACAATGCGTTTTCAAGACAACCTTTATTGGGAGCCCAAACACTTGAAACCATGAGCATGCGAAGGAACCTTGGTATGCTTCTTTAAGACAAACTAATTTCACAACACGGTGTTCCTAAAGTTGCATCAAGCATCATTTGGGTTATGCCAGACGAAGTCTTTAGCTGTAGCCGACCATTTTGTTTTTCTTAGCAGTTCTGTCCATCACCTCCTCTCTAACTTACCAGATTAAACTATGGCCGATGTAGGCAAACGCATGCAGGTGGGTCTATGCTGGGCAAAAACAGGTGCCGGCAAGCTACCCTACGATGCCATTGAGACACAGCCCGGTGTCTACGTATGCCGCGCCTGGCATGAGGGTGAACAAATCCCCGGCACCTACGTTCCACGGTATGCGCTCGCCTACGTCTCCTATGCTGGCAAGGAACACCAGAAGACGGAGTGCGAAGTACTCTGTGACACTAGTACCCTGGGCAATATCCCTCGTAAGTAACACAACAGAAACCCTTTTCACATCTACGTGTTAACAGTCAAGTTAATATACCAATCGACAATAAGGATCTTATGCTAGCTACGGATACGACTACCACCTTAATACTATGCTGTTTATTTGTGGACAGATCACAGGCTTACAATACGTCATTGTGACATAAGCTGCGTTACTGATTTAAACACGATATACTTCTGTGGTCCAGAAAGGACATAAAATCTCACATGAAACCTTGTAATGCGACAGTTGTTCACACCATTTACACGAAACTTCTATCTCTTTAGAGAACCTGCCCTGTGCAGCGGAAAAGCCCATTTCGCTTTATAGCTTATTATTAACGTAATTTTCCCTACCTTACTGTACCTGCTTTTGACTTAAGGTAATATTTTTTCTTCGAAAAGGAGTCGTTAGATATTTTTGGATTATTTAAATGTATTTTTTAACCCAACCCCACAACCAGTTAATAAGATCTCTGTTAGTAAT